CCCCGCCCCCGCCCCCAGGCCCAGCCGGCCATACTCTGCCCTGCCCAGGCTGTAGGCTTTACCTGGAGCACCACGAAACGCACGGGAGAGGTGACCCGAGGTTGGGGGCAGAAGCTCGCAGCAGGCCACAGCCGGACCCTCTCCCCGCAGTCTGACTCCTGGAGGAGCATCGCTCCTCCCTACCGCACCCTAGACCCCAACCAGGAGGTGCAGGGTGGGATAGAGACCCTTGAGCTCCCCAAAAATCAACAGCGTGGGTGGGTGCCTAGGCAGATGATTGAGCTGCAAGCGCAGAGTTCACCAGTGGCCCCGCGTTCCCGTCCTCCTCCCTGCCCTCTGCTGCAAATTCACGCCACCCTTGTTGCTTCGAACGCCGAGGACTGGGAGGGCTCCAGCACGTCACCCTCACCCCAACACCTCCCCAGCCAGGAGGAGGGCCACGGGAGTGTGTCCCCCCCCCAGCTTTCTGCGACTCCCAGCCCGCCCGTCCCGCCGGCGCTCACCCTCGGAGTCGACGCACACCGTGTGGTGCTGCCCGCCGGAGAACCCGACCCAGGACTTGGTGGAGTTCTTGAAGCACGTCAGGTTCTGCGGGGAGAAGCAGGGCTCGGTGCCCTGGGTCCCTGCAGGGGGACACACACACACGCATAAACCCAGGCCCATCAGGTCCGCGGGCGCGGACAGCCCAGGCCAGCGCTGAGCCATCCACCCCGGGGGCTCACCCCACCGGAGACTAAACACAGCCCCAAAAATCAAACTTCTGCTCAAACCCAGTGGGCTGGGACCTAAACCCAGAGCTACGCAGGGCAACCCCCCACCCCGATTTCCAGCTCTGGTGTGTCCGGTGGCTTCTCGGTGTTCAGGATCCGGGGCACCCAGCAGCATCCCGCCCCCCCACCGGGCCGGGGCAGCACGGGAGCGGGAAGCCCACAGCGGGCAGGAGAATGGGAGGGACGTCAGCGAAGCTCACCCAGCTGGTGGTAGTTGGAGAGGCCGAATCCGTAGATGTGTCCCTCCTGCGTGACGGCGAAGGTGAAGTAAGCCCCGCAAAAGGCGTCCTGGAAGCGCATTTTGCCTCTGTTGCCTTTGCCTCTGACAGGGACGCGCTGGGGGACCAGCAGACGCTCTGGGGGGGCAGGAGACAAGGTGTCGTACGAAGACGGAACGATTTACACCCTTTTCCTTCCCCCCCCTCCCCCTCAGATCCAGCTCATTGAATCCAAGTAACGGATGGACACACAAGCCCTCGAGCGGCAGGGGAAGAGACCGGGGTCTCTTTGCTCCTCTGCAAGGCGTAGGGTGAAGGCCAAAGGACAACTCACGCAGCCCTTTTCTTCCTCCGCGGTTGGCAAAGAGCGCCGGCACCCGCCCCAGCTGGCCCTGCTCGCCGCAGCCGCACGTGAAGAGGTCGCCGTCCACCGTCAGCATCACCAAGTGGTCATTCCCTGGGAGGAGGACGAGGGAGAGGAGTGAAGCAGGGGTCACGCTCCAGGAAGCCAGCGAGGCCCAGGGGCTGAGATCCCCCAGGTGAACCCCAGCTGTCGCAGCTTTCCAGAATTCAGCGGGGTTTGCTCCGCTGGGAGAGCCCGACATCAGCTTCTGGCACAACTTACAACCCCAGGATCTCCTTCTTCCTGATCCCCAGTTCCCCAACTGAAACTTCATAGAAGTTTTCTCCAGGAAGTTTTAGGGGAATAGGTCCCTCCCAACCTCACCTGGGCCCCGGACAAGTTTTCTGGCTGCTCTGCTCAGCTTCCCCAAGTCTAGAAGAGGGCGAGCGCTTGGGAGCCCGGGGGATCGGAGTCGGGGCACCCACGTAAGGCATTTTACATCAGACTGAGTCAAATATTAACAAGAGTGTCGGGGCCAGGAGAGACACACAAGGTCTGTCCTCTCAAGAGCCAGAGAAGAGCAAGCACGTCCTTGTATTTGGCTCAGAGAAGCCAAGGGGGAGGTAAAGGACATGGACCACTCATTAGTGGCCGGCCCAGCCTCAAACCGTGACAACCTGCTGGACCTTCACCTCCTCCCAAGGGTTGCACCAGCCTCGTGCACCAGCCTGACCCACGCACCCCCCAGGACCTTGCTCACCTGAGACGATTTTAACGACGGGGGCGCCAAGCTGGAGCAGCACAGGAACGGAGCTCGTCTTCATGGGCTCCAGCAAGCCGATCACCCCTTTGTTATCCTGGGGGGAGACACAAGACAGGGGAGGGGGGGGCGAGATGAGGCACAGAACCCAACAGCAGAGCTTCCAGCGTCCCGAGAAACCAACGTACCCGGAAAGAGCCCCAGACAAACACCCTGCCGTCCTCCGTCAGCGCGGCCGTGTGGCTGTCCCCCGCGGAGACCTGCACCACCTTCTCCTGCAGCTCCACCAGCCCCGGCGTGGTCTCCGACCCTTCTGCCGAGGTGTCGCGCCCGAGGGCGCCTTCATCGTTGCAGCCAAAGGTGTAGATCTGCAGATAAAAGAGCGGGACAGTCGGGATCACAGAGTCATACAATATTTCGGGTTGGAAGAGATCTAGTCCAAGCCTCCTGCAACGAGCAGGGATGTCTTCAAGCAGGTCGGGGTGCTCAGAGCCTCGTCCAGCCTGGCCTTGAATGTTTCCAGGGATGGAACATCTACCACCTCTCTGGGCAACCTGGTCTGGTGTCTCACCACCCTCATCATAAAAAATTTCTTCTTTAGATCTAGTCTAAAACTCCCATCTTCTAGCTTAAAGCCATTATCCCTTGTCCTAGAGCGACAGACCCTATGGAAGAGTCTGTTCCCATCTTTCCTGCAGCCCCCTTTCAGCACTGGAAGGTCACTCTACGGTCTCCCCAGAGCTTCTCTTCCCCAGGCTGAACAACCCCAGCTCTCTCAGCCTGTCCTCACGGGGCAGCTGCTCCAGCCTTCTTGTCATTTTTGCAGCCTCCTCCGCACCCGCTCTGACAGCTCCCTGTCTTTCCTGCGCTGAGGGCTCCAGAGCTGGATGTAGCACTGCAGGTAGGGTTTCAGGATGGGACCCAGAGGGCCAACAGGTTGAGTGTGAAGCCAGGGAACAGAGACCCACCAGGCTGAATTATCCCTTTGACCCCCTAAATTTCTGTGGTCCGTGGCATGGAGACCACACTCATCCCCGGAGCTGGCGTGAGCTACACCTCTGGGCAGAGCAGAGTCCCACTCAGACCCCGCAACCCGCCCCAGAGCTTGCAGGGAAGCACGGCTCAGCCTCCCCACACTCCCCCCCGGGTGCTGCCCCCTCCACACCACACTCACTTTTCCCGTCTGGCTGAGGCACACCGTGTGCATCCCTCCGGCTTCCACCTGCACCACCATCTCCGGCAGCGGCACCAGCGCCGGCTTCTTCCTCTCCATCACGTCCTCCCCCAGGCCCAGCTGGCCGACATCTCCCTGCCCCAGGGTGAGCACCAGGCCGGGCTGTGTGCGGTGGGACGGGTGGCAGACTGTGGGGCAGAAGGGACATAAATAAGATACAGGGAGGGGGAACAACCCTTCCGTTAAAGCTGGTCCTTAGGAACAGGGAGGGAAAACTCCCAAAGATTTTCCTGACCTTTAATCTTCTTCCTTCCAGGAGACTCTTCTTCTGGCACCGGGCTCTTCTTCGCAGTGCGTTTCCCTGGCATAGCGCCTCGGATCTAAACAGCAAAGACACCCTGTTAGGTGTTAACCACGGGGCTGCCAGTTGTTTGGGGTTCCCCCCTCCCCCGCCCCGCTTTAAAATCACCTCAGGTCACCCGACGGACCGGGGACTGAATTAGGATTTGAGCACCGAAATCCGCTCCCGCTTTGCAAAAATGGGGGGGGGGGCCCTGTTCTTGCGTGTCCT